AACTGCCTGTTTGTCAGTCAGGGCTTTGCTTCTGGTTCGAACTTCTACATTCTTTTTTTCTTTTTTGAGCTGTTATCTCACCATATTATCCATGCTGGTGTCAAAGTGGTGGCCTCAAGCCATTCTCCTGTGTCGGCCTCCTAAATGGTAACGTCCTACTTCTTAGAGAAGACGCCGATGACATTACTTAGATTTTATCAAAGAGAATGCAGTGAACATGTTATCTCTTGTTAAGATTCTGTTTCACTTTCCATTTTGAACAAGCTGCAGCAGTTCAAGGAATGGTAGCAGTGAGCCAGGGTACAACTCCACAACCTAGCTCTAGACTCTGGTTTCACTTCTCACATCTTAACTCTCACCTGCCTCTCTTTTATAATTTTTTAAATTTTCTGAGATTATAATATAATTACAGTATTTCTCCCTTTCCTTTCCTCCCTTCAGGTCCTACCATATTCCCTTCCTTATCCTTTTCCAAATCCATGGCTTCTTTTTTCATTAATTGTTATTGCGCATTATATTCCTAAATAGAACCTGCTTAGACCATATGCTGTTAACTTGTATGTTTGTTTTCAGGACTGACCGTTTGGTATTGGGCATCTAATCGGTGTGTCTTCCCTGGGGAGATGATTTCTCTCACTCTTGGCTTTCTTTAGTTGCCTACAGTTCTTTGTGCTGAGTTGGAGCCTGTGAGATTGGAGTCAGGCTTTTTCTTTGGCCATCAGCTCACAAAAAACAACACACAGACAGACTTATATTAATTATGAAAGCTCAGTCTTAGCTTAGGCTTGGTTCTAACTAGCTCTTATAACTTAAGTTAACCCATTTCTATTCATTTATTTTCTGCCTCACAGCTTTCTCCCTCATCCTGCTTGCTCTGTGTCTCCCGGCATCCCTGCCACTTTGTTCCAGTGTCCTCTCTGCCTGAAAATCCTGCCTAGCTATTGGCTGTTCAGCCTTTTATTAAACCAATCAAAGTGGCACATCTTCACAGTGTACAAAAGGATTATTCCACAATATGAGATTGTGTCCCCCACTGTCTTAGTGGGGGTTTCGATTGCTGTGAGGAGATATCATGACCATGGCAACTCTTTTAAAGTTAAAGTACTTAATTGGAGTGGCTTACATTTTCAGAGGTTTAGTTTGTTATCATCATGGTACAACATGGTGCTAGAGAAGCAGCCGAGTGTCCTGCATCTTGACTTGCAGGTAACAGGAAGTAGTCTGAGACACTGGGCGATATCTTGAGCATATAAGAGACCCCAAAGCCTGCCTCCACAATGACATACTTCCTCCAACAAGGCCACACCTCCTACTAGTGCCACTCCCTTAGGGGCCATTTTCTTTCAAACTACCACATTCCACACCCTGGCCCCCAAACTCTTGCAACAATAACATAATGCAAAAATGTATTCAGTCCAACTTCAAAAATCCCCCGAAGTCTATCACAGTCCCAAACTTATTTAAAAGTCTAAAGTTCACTGTTTCTTAGATTCCTGCAATCTCTTAACTGTAATCCCCTGTAAAATCAAAATCAAAAATTGAGTGATTTCTTCTCAGTGGAGTACTCCCCTACTTTCTTGGCCTCTGATCAACTGTCACTATTAAACCACCTTTTAAAAGTTTTGTAGTCTTTTCCTTAAATGTGTGTGGTTGCCCCACCTCTAAACATCCTAGTATTAGTTGGCGTGGTGGCTCACACCTGGTTTCCAGGCACTTTAGGATGTAGCAAGTCCCAGGTTCCATCAATCCAAAAAAAAAAAAAAAACCTAAAGAAAATTGTTAAGGAGGTAGGACTTAGTGCAGGCATTGTCTACCATTCTAGACAGTTGAATTTGTCCATTCACTGGGGCTGCATGATTGCCTACAAGTTATTTTTCTTTAAAATTAGAATTCAAAAGTTTCCTTATATTAGCACATTTCCTTGCCTGCTGTGTGTTATTAATTAGAAGGAATGGATATCTAGAAGATAAAAGGACCTCTAGCCAGACATAATGGACAACAGGCTTTTAATCCCAGCATTTGAGACGTGGAGGCAGGAGGATCCAGTGTTCAAGTCCAGCCTCTGCTACGTAACAAGTTCAAGGCCAGCCTGAACTACATGAGACCGATGTAGCAGGAATCATAAAAGTTCTTATTAATAAAATCAAGTTCTTATTAATAAAATCAAACCCGGGGCCAGTTATTGGGGTGAAATGCTGGATGGTCAGAGAACCAGAACACCTCGCCGGATCCTCAGCTGGTCTTGTTTCCTCAGACTGGAGGCCTCTGAGTCCTCATCCAGAATGGATCTCAGCTGAACTGCTGCTCAAAAGCCTGAATGCTTAACCATGCCAAATGCTTCTAGTTTCTGGTCCTCACGCCTTATATATCTTTCTGCCTTCTACCATCACTCCCTGGGATTAAAGGCTCGCTTTCTGGGATTAAAGGCGTGAGTCACCATGCTTGGCTGTATCCTTGAACACATGGATTTCTGCCTCTGGAATGCTAGGATTAAAGGCTTGTGCTACCACTGTCTAACTTCTATGTTTAATATTGTGGCTGTTCTGTCTCTGACCCCAGATAAGTTTATTAGTGTGCACAATATTTTGGTGAACACAATACCACCACAGACCCTGTCTCAAGAAACAGTCTACAGTTCTTTTATGTGAGTGTAGAGTGTGCAAGCTGATGTCACTTTCTGCCTTAGAGGGAGGGGTGTGTGTGTGTGTACATACATACATATATAATGCATATGTGTGTATATAATAAAAAAAAGGACTTGCCATTCAGGCTAATGAGATAGCCCAGTGAGTAAAAGTCTTCCCACACAGACATGACAAACTGTGTTTGATTCCCAGAAACCATGGTGGAAGGAGAGAACTTTGCTGTGGGATGTTCTGTATGGCAAATGTGTTGCTAATTAGTCAATAAATAAAACACTGATTGGTCATTGGCTAGGCAGGAAGTGTAGGCGGGACAAGGAGGAGAATAAAGCTGGGAAGTGGAAGGCTGAGTCAGAGACACACTGCCAGCTGGCAGGATGAGAAACAGCATGTGAAGATGCCGGTAAGCCACGAGCCATGTGGCAAGGTATAGATTAATGGAAATGGATTAATTTAAGCTGTAAGAACAGTTAGCAAGAAGCCTGCCACGGCCATACAGTTTGTAACCACTATAAGTCTCTGTGTTTACTTGGTTGGGTCTGACGGCTGTGGGACTGGCAGGTGAGAGAGATTTGTCCTGACTGTGGGCCAGGCAGGAAAACTCGAGCGACAGAACTTACTCCTAAAAGATGTCCTCTGACCTCCAGAGGCACACCATGGCACACATGTACACCCACACTCATACAACAATACAAAAATAAGGAAATACAGCTAGGGATGTTCCTGGAGAAATGGTTCTTCAGTTAAGTCCTTTTCCAGAAGACCCAAAATCAGTCCCTAGCACTCACATCAATAGGATTACAATCCCTCCAATTCCAGCTCTAGAGGATCTGATGCCCACTGTCTTCCACAGGCACCCGCATACACATAGCACACGTAAACTCACACAAGCACACATGTATATAATAAAAATAAATCTTTATTCGAGGGGGAGAGCATATAGAAGTAGAGTGTTATGGAATATTAAAGATGTGTTACATTTAAAAAAAAAGATTTATTTATTATGTGTACAGAAGAGGGTGCCAGATCTCATTACAAATGGTTGTGAGCCACCATGTGGGTGCTGGGAATTGAACTCTGGACCTTTGGAAGAGCAGTCGGTGCTCTTAAACTCTGAGCCATCTCTCCAGCCCAAGATGTGTTACATTCTTTTGTGCTGTGGAATGTTTGTTAATGATGCAAAGATGTGTTGCATTCTTTTATGTTGCATTTGTTTAACTCTGTGAAGCTGTGATACTTTACCGAAAACACCTGATTGGTCTAATGAAGAGCTGAACTGCCAGTAGCTAGTTAGGAGAGGGATAGGTGAGGCTGCCAGGCAGAGAGAATAAATAGAAGGAGAGAGAAAGGGAGGAAGGAGAAAAGAAGAGGAGGATACCAGGGGCCAGCCACACAGCCGACATGGAATAAGAAGGAAAGAAAAGAGAGAGGTAAAAGCCTAGAGGTAAAAGGTAGGCAGGATAAAATAAGTTAAGAAAGTTAGGGCGGTGGTGGCGCATGCCTTTAATCCCAGCACTCAGGAGGCACAGCCAGGTGGATCTCTGAGTTCAAAGCCAGCCTGGTCTACAGATATCCAGGACAGGCACCAAAACTACACAGAGAAACCTTGTCTTGAAAAACCAAAAAAAAAGAAAAGAAAAAAGAAAAGCTGTCTAGAAACAAACCAAGTAAAAACAAGTCTCCATGTTTTGTTTTGTTTTTTTCTTTTTTGGAAGCTGGGTGGTAGGCCCCTAAAGAGTGAGGGGGGCGGGGACTGCAGTAGACTATTTGCTTAGCATAAATAAGGCCCTGGGTTCAACCCCAGCACAATGAGGAAAAAACAAAACAGAAACAGACATAGAGCCTGAAGTTATTGAAATGTTAATTTGGCTTGCCCCAGACTTTTACAAAGGAGACGCGCTGAGAGGTAGAAGTGCCATCCCTAGACCACACTGTAAGTTTAAGTGTGACGGTGCTGCCCTCACTGAGAACCCCGAGGCAAGGAGTCAAGAGTCTAAGGCAGCCTGGGATGCACTGCAAGACTTTGCCTCAGAAAAACAGCTAAACTGTAAAGTATTGGTAACTGACCATAATGAGAAGTGGGTATGGACAGCGGTGTGTCATCCTTTGGTGGTTTTTCTCTGGAAGAGTGGAATTTAAAGTGAGCAAACCTTAGTGGGAATGGACTCTGGTTAATGCAAACTGAATCTAAGTAGGATGGCTTTGAATTCTTGCCTGGACGTAGTAGCTTCTGCATGAGGCAGTTCTCCGAGTCACATTCAAGAAGATGCTTTGTTAGTAGATAATTGTTTTAACTATTCAAGTACTTTGACTAGTGACCATGTTTGGGGAACCTGAACAAATCTCACTCTCTTACAGCGGAACTTTCCACCTGAGGACTTCAGAGACCAACTGGATTGGAATGGAGAACCAGGAACCCACAGACCCTCCTCAGAACACCAGACAGCACCTCATTTCAGAGGAGGTAAAGCTGCTTTTTCCTGTCCTTTCCCTTCCCCACATAACACTAAGTCTAAAATGAATGTGCAGGCGTGTTTTTTTCTTTTTAGTGCCATGGGGTTTTCATTCTTGAAGATAGTTTTCAAATTATTTCAAGGCCAAGCCACATTTTGCTGTTGTCTGAAAACAGTGGTTTATTCATTAATTAGATGTATTAATGAAATTGAGAATAAGTGGATTGTGGCTCCTGATAGAAAATTTCTTTCTAAAAATCACCCTGGATAGAAAAACAAATAATATGTGGTTTTGCACATAATAATGTGGTTTTGAGATTTCATATTTAGTAATTACATCATAAGTGTTTGTCATCCCAGCATAAATGTTTAAAATAATAAAAACTTAAATTGTTCATCATTCAAATTGCCCTGAGTTCTAGAATTAATATTATTGAACAAAGAACTAAAGTTACTGAATAAAGCTTTTAGGGCCTTTTCCTCTCAAGAACCAATTGTTGTAGTGGATAACTTTTAAATATTCAAACTGGAACTCTGGTCCTGAAACTTTTCTGGAATTCTTTTTGATTTAGAATCTTTCCATGTTGTCTGTGAACAGATCTGATAATTGGGTCGGTGTTGGCCAGAAGGGGTGGGTAGGGGCTAATGAGAAAAGGCTATTGCTTTAAGTTCACAGTGAACATCATCTCAGCTCGGCCTGGTGCCACAGGTGAGTTACGCTCCCAGACTCCTTGGTGTGTGGGCCGAGCGGTTCTGATGCCTGTCTTGGATTGGGTGGGAACTTGGTCAGAAAGAAAATCTAGTCTTTATTTTCCTAGTGAAATTTTACACACAACTACACACAAGTGTGGCCAGCTTTGCACATATACCTGGGGTCAGAACTTGAACAGCCAGCTCTCTCCCGGATGTACTCCCTTACGTTACCATTTTCTTCCCAGCCCAGTGTTGCTTGTTTTTCAAGTAACAAGTGCCTACTCTCACCGAGCCACACCTGCTGTACTCACATCCCTAGACTCTTTCCCCTCTTAGTTCTACCTGAACCCCCCCAAAAAAAGCCCCACCCTTAGAGAAACAACTTTGAATACCTATTCCGAGCTAGAAACTTGCCCACAAATAATATTGGGAGGGAAGCAAACTGGGGGGGGGGGGGGGGACATAGAGAAAATTTGAAAGAAACACAATTTGATTTTTTTAAAAAAGACCAACTTGGTTTGAAAATTTCCTGCCTTCTAAATATCTGATTTTGTTTTAGTTGATTTCAGAAGGAAAATGGGTCAAATTTGAAAAAACAACTTACATGGATCCTACTGGGAAAACGAGGTAAGCGTTTCTCTTTCTGTCTGGTTTCTCCAGGTCTCTCGGGTATCTGCGTAGACACTGGTGTTTCATCGTTGTAAGCTCTTCTAAACAGGGTCGAGGCCAGCTCTTCCTCCATTGCTAGAGCGTTTGGGTCATTGATAACCTCTGAATAAAACTGAATTACAGTTGTTACTATACCTAATCTGGAACCCATTTTAACTCTATTCTCCATAGTATTGTGGACCTAAAACTTGTGATTCTGGCTTAACAAGCTACAGAATATTCAATAGTGTCTACTGCTTCCTTCTAGTAAAACCAAATTTTTTTTTTTTAAAGATTTATTTATTTATGTATACAGTATTCTACCTGCATGTATGCCTGCAGTCCAGAAGAGGGAACCAGATTTCATTACAGATGGTTGTGAGCCACCATGTGGTTGCTGGGAATTGAACTCAGGACCTTTGGAAGAACAGCCAGTGCTCTTAACCTCTGAGCCATCTCTCCAGCCCCAGAACCAAATTTTTAATATAACACTTGCCTAGCATGGACAAAGCCCTGGGTTTGATCCCAACCACCACACTAAAAAATGTAAATCAGAAAAGTAATGTATTAAATAATAGGTTTACTATTTACTAAATGAAATGTAATAAGGAATAAAATAAAATACAATAAAATGATTTTAGTATCCAGACTATATCATACCAAATCATTAGAAAAAAATTCCATTTGCTACACAATCATGGAAGAATTGTGTTTTTGTGTGAGCAAATGCTTTTCTCAAGGTGACAATACATAGATTTGTTGATGATTGAAACAAATTTTAACTGTTTCTGCTGAACTAGCACAAACCTTACTAAGGCCCATTATTAGAGAGCTCTGGAGGCATCCTAACAGACAGCAGACAGACTAAATGTGGAGTAAGCAGAGGGTGGGTGCAGACCGAGGACAAACCTGTGGCAAGACCTGAGAGGCAGGGAGTGCATTATGTGCAATGGATTTATACTGTGAAATATGTAGACACTAGAACTCAGGATTTGAAATAGTTTGGCTCTGTTTCTCTGAAAATGAAGTTTATAGCACAAAATACAACCTTTAACACTAAGAAATCTAAAGAATATATGTCAATTCACGGCCTCTAGTGTCTTCACCTGATCAGCCTTCGGGTATTTACTGATGAGGAAGATATGTCTAAGTCATTGTCCCAGTTAGGGCTACTATTACTGCAGTTAAACAGCATGACCAGAAGCAACCTGGGGAGGAAAGAGTTTATTTGGTTATGCTTCCATATCACTGTTGATCATCAAAGGAAGTCAGGACAGGAACCTGGAGGCAGGAGCTGATGCTGAGACCCTGGAGGGGTGCTGCTTACTAGCTTGCTCTCCATGGCTGATTTGCCTGCATTCTTATAGAACCCAGGGATGGCACCACCCATAATAGGCTGGACCCTCTCTCAGCGATCACGAATTAGGGCCTGCACATTTTCTCAATTGAGGCTCCCTCCTCTCTGGTGACTCATAAAACTACCCAGCACAGTCACTGGGGGATATTTTCCCCAGGATTCCTATTTCTAGGTTTCATTCCAAAGAGTCTAGTCTTTAACTTGGGAATGAATTTTTAAGTCTAACTACCATGTTTTTGCTGCCTGTGTAGAGCATATTTCTTCCTGGTCTTTGACGAAGGGTTATGTACAGCATTAATAGCTCTTACCATGGTGTCAAGCTTTCAAGTATGACTATAGACCATGTTTCATTAATTTATAAAAATTCATTCTGTTACCTCAAAGAAAAGCATATGTATAAAGGATAAAAATAGCTGGAGAATGATTTTACTAGTCTCGTTCATGGAAGAAGGGATATGGAATTAATCCTAGAAGTGTTCAGTACTAGTGTTAAGTCCTTACATTGACATTCAAGATGGGGCTGAGTTGTCCTTTGCTACCTCCTACCTCCTGCACCAGTGGCTAGAGGTAAACAACTACCAGGTCTCTAACAAGAGACCAAACGATGGAGTGATTTAAAAGGAAACCCAATCCTAAAGCTGGAAGAGATTTCTCCGGATGGTTTACTCATTCCTGAATTGCACAAAGAAGGAAGCTGTCATAGCTTTTGATTTAGCTGGAGGACAAGTAGAGACTAAGCTTTTCTCCCCCGCGAGGATATGTCTGTGAGTTCTAGGACAGTGTCTGAGCTGTCTGGGGCATTCTTGCTGTACTGTCATAAATGTTTATATTCTACTGCACATGCTGTATGGCTCCTTACTGCTCGTTTCCTTCACCCTGACCGCCGTAATGATGCTGCTCTTGTTCTCCTTGTTCCTAGCGTTTGGGATGGGACCTTCAGTGCTCTTCCCAGCACTGTCTCCAGTCTTTAGGACTGACCTAAGAGGCAGCAGAGAACTAGGACAAAAGGTGTTTTGTCTCTTGTCATCTCTATTACTTATGGAAATTGCTTGTTGGTTGGCTTTCTTGCTACTAACAGGAGCGTTAGGCTACTGTGAGTTGTCACAGCAGTTTGATTTTTATTTTCACACGTTTGTCTTGTAAAACTTGGTGTAGTGCTGAAAGGTGTATAGTTTACAGAAAGGGTTTTTGTTTATTCTTGTTTTAAGCCAGATTAAATATCTGGAACTTTTTGTAGAAATGTGGTATTATCAGATCTCAAGGACACCGGGGAGAAAATGTATGAGCAAGAGGGTCCGTTAGAGTAGGGTGTTTATAATTTACTGTACTTACCCTAGTCCCTAGAGCCATCCAGATTATAACCCCACAGCCTAATATTGTTCACCTCCCAGCTCCATCGTTGGCTTAGCATTGCTCCGCCCACCAATATATGAGAACCAGAGGAGGTGAAATTTCCTGTTATCCCTCCCCCTTTTGAACAGTGTGTTTTGTTTTTTTCCCCCTGTAACGAATTTCCCATATAACTCTACCTGATGTTCCTGTAAGAGCAGGTAGAATGCAGAGATTTTACCAAAACCTGAGAACAAACAGCCAGGAACAGATCACTAACACACAGTGAAGCCATAAACGGGAGCAAGACTATAATGTCAAGCACTTCACTGCTTCCTCTAGGGACCCATCTTTTTTTTTTTTTCTTACATAAGGCCACACATAAGGCAGAGAATCTAATTCCTCAGCTACGTGGAAAAGATCTGCTTTCTTGAATTGTATAGTTTAGTCACCTATTTTAAACCTGCATAATTTCAGTGGTTCATGTTGTGCATGGCATCCTTTGTTCTTGGAAATGCATCTGGAATGTCCCTAGGGGCTGACTGCATCACTGTGGAAAGGCTGGACAGCTGCACTACCAGCTTATGCTGCACACTTTACCGAAGTATTCTGAGGGTACAGTGACTCCAGTGCTCTGCCGCTCTCTGCTTAGATGGCAGCCAGAGGCTGAGGTGGAGGGTGACAACCGTTTTCTTTCTAGTCACATGTACTACAAGAAAGCACAGTTGATCTTTACTGTGGTCCTTGACTGTTTCATTAGCATATTTGCATGCATTCCATTTATGAAGTTGTGCTAGTCAACAGAAAACATAAGGAGATTCTTCCCATTGCCACTAATGATTTGTTTTTCTTTGTTCTCTGCCTGCATAGAACTTGGGAAACAGTGAAACTTACAACCAGGAAGGGGAAATCTGCTGACGGTATGACTATCATAACTCTTTCTGAAGGAAGTTAGCACATGAATTGTAAGATGGTGTTTAATATAACCAAAGACCTCAAAGCAGAATTACCTTCAATTAGGATTTTTTATGTGTGAATCTCCTGGTTTTACAATGCTATGTTCCAGAGCTTTTTATATAAGTAACTTCCGACTCCCATTTTCTAAGCTAAGAACAGTTTTGAAAGAAAGATGTGTTAACCTTTATAGCCAAACATGTCGGTATAATTTGAAGCTACATGCTGTGTCTTCGTATGTGAAGACCACTGGAGTCCTTTGTACTCGGAAGGTGAGTGCCTTTGGGTGTGGTAAAATGATCTCCCACCTTCATGCTTCAGTTGAGAGGAAAGATTATTGGGAAAGGGCTCCCGTTCATCTCCCCTTGCAGGCATACGTGGTTTGGCTGCAACCGCATCAGAAACATCCTGTAGCCACATGTGGTCTGGAAAAACTGAGCTTTTTGTTTTTCCATCTTGATTTGGTTTGTTTTTATAGGAGACAAACAGTTGCTTTGCTACAGCTGCTCTTCACTGTTAAAGCATTTGGGAGCTGCTAACAATCATCCCTGGTGGTGGCTTTCTGGTTTTGTTTTAAGGCCAGATTATTTAGAGGGAAAGAACTTATATTCTAAAACAGCAAAAGTTGGTCTGTTGACATAGAAGACATGGTGGGCCTCCACTGGCTTCTTGCTTAAGGGACCTCTAGCAGCATGCAGACCACCCTCTTCACCAGCTGCCACTTCAGTGGCGGCTGCTTGGGGAGCAGGGGCTTCCCATCCTTGGCCCTGTGTGACATGTTCAGTTTCAATTTTGACTTCCTTAAGAATGTGGCTGGGCCTGGTGGTGCACACCTGTAGTCCTATACACTCGGGAGGCTGGAGCAGGAAAATCAGGAGTTTGAGTTAGCTTGGGCAGTAGAGACAACATAGTCAGACTCCATCTAAAATAAATAGAAAAAGGATATTGTGACAACTGAAAACGATCTTTTATAATTAAAAGAATATTTTAAAAATCTGATAGAAGTGTTACTTTTTGTTGTTGTTGTTTTTTCTTAGTTTTCTTTTGAGACAGGGTTTTTCTATGTAGCCCTGGCTATCCTGGAACTTTGTGGACCAGGCTGGCCTCGAACTCGGAGATCCACCTGCCACTGCTGGGACCACTACCACCTACCTGGCTTCCTTTTTACATTATTAAATGAGACTAGTTTCAAAGTTGGCTGCCAACACAGAAGATGAAGTTCATTGCTCACTGCTTCAGCAACATATTCAGAGTGATGTGGCTGCATCTTCGAATCTGGAGTTTGTGTCGAATTGCTGTGGACAGGTTGCTAGCCTGGCTAACCTTTCTCAAGGGTTCCTTAGCTTTGTTTCTGTTTGACAGCCGTGTCTATCATCCCAGTGCTGCAAAGAACTCTTCATTACGAGTGTATTGTTCTGGTGAAGCAGTTCCGACCCCCAATGGGTGGCTACTGCCTGGAGTTTCCAGCAGGTGAGTAACTCTACGTAGGTCCTTGGCCTGGGACTAGCAGTGCATTGCTTAAGTCTTAATTGCTTATATCTTAACCTCTTTTCATCTATCCCAGTAACTGAAAGTAAATAATAAATATTTCTAAGGCTAGGGAAATGACTCAGCCATTAAAGCACTTGCTATGCAAGCAAGATGACTTGAGTTTGGATCCCTGGAACCCCATGTCAAAGCCAGGGAGGTTTGGAGGCTTCTCTAGAATCCAAGCCCTGGAAGGTGGACAAGGAGCTCCCTGAAACAAGCTGGCTAGTGAGACTAGCCATATCAGTGAGGTGTAGGTCTGACTGAACAGTGTTGGGTGGAAGAGTGATTGAGGAAAGAGTCTTACATCAACATCACTCCTCGACATGCACACACACAAATATATAAAAAGAAAAAATACCATGTTTCTATAATGAGGCTCCTTCAAGCCCTGGCCACGTTTGGGGTTAGGCAAACCTATGTACATGATGTGCAGCTCAGTGCCACCCCCTTTCCACATAGCTCTCTGACCTCCATCTCCCAGTCACCGCTGTCAATCATTTAATCTCCCCTCTGTCACCCGCAGTCGTTCACAGGAATTTAACAGGAGTCAGTAACTCAAACTCTAAATGACAAAGGTCGTGCGTAACTAGAAGACACCTTGGTCTGCCATAAACAAACAGGTCGAGAAAACTGTCTTGATTTTATCAGAAGTATTTTTCAGATTCATTGTAATTAAAGAAGCCATCCAGAATTTGATACACAGTATTATAGCAATTTATCGGACTGTACCCGTATGAAGGAATGAATAAACTCCATGTATTTATGGAAGGTAGTATACTTTACAGCCAGGTTTATGAAGCCCAGTAGGCTTTAGGTACAGTGTTTACCCAGCATGCACAAAGCTCTGTGCCCCGTTCCCAGGACTGAAGTGGGGAAGCCCAGTTCACACTAATATATAGTTAGCTCTTTTCTTTCTCACTGGCCATTTTATTAAGAAGTTAATAACACCAAAAGTGACTTAAAATTTAACCTACATTTTACTTGTTCTTTACACAGTTGTATCCCATTCAGGAAAATGAACCTGAGTTGTTACTTTCCCTGTTTGGTCTATCTGTTCCTCATATGACCGTACAGGCACTCCCTCCTGGCACTTCATTGCTGGGCCGAGGTAGTTTTCTGTGAGGAAGGAAAGCAAGATAACTGTCACCCTACAAAAAAAAAAAAAAGAACCAGCCTCTTGTACTATAGTCACATAAACTGGCTCCAGAACCTAGGCCGCTTGGCCGCCACCAAATCATCTTTCCTCAGTGCTGTCCCTCTTGTGCAGAACATGGTTGAGATGTTCACAAGAAACACCTAGATGTAGGCAGGAGGCATGAGTAGTACCTACCGTAACCTACTCGGGATGCAAGGGTCACTGTGACTTTCCAACTGTGAGAAAGCTGTTCAGAGAACACTGGCTTCCTTCCTCCTGTCCTCCAGGGCTCATCGATGATGGTGAGAGCCCAGAAGCAGCCGCTCTCCGGGAGCTAGAGGAAGAAACCGGCTACAAAGGTGATGTCGCTGAGTGTTCTCCAGGTTCGTATTGCTTGGCGGGTGTCATTTTCTTGGACATGAATGAAGCAGGAGTTCCTTATGGAGTCAGGCGGAGAGGAGCCAGGGATTTAGACTGGTTTCCAGCCACGTGCAGTGTAATTCTAGTCTGCCAGAGCTGAGGCAGGATTGTGAGCTGAAGGTCAGCCTGGGCTACACGGTAAGATAGTGTTTCATTTCCCTTCCCCCAAATTAAAAAAGGAGGGTTATTCTCCATCTGGGAGTGAACTGCTCTTCTGCACGAGAGCAAGTTGGAGGACCTGAAATTGGAAAATTATGAAACCAAGTTGTCTTCAGAACATAGTAAACCTTGCTGCTTGCTTGCCTGTCTCGGCCATACTCCTCACAGGGTTTGTTTGTCCCCATCAGAACACTCCCTCTAACCCCTCCGAATTCCCAGACTGATGCAAGAACTCCAGGAAGTTTGAGAGCTTTAGGAGTTGCACACATGTTCTACAGTCTGGTGGTATCTACTGACTAGATACCCGCTGAATGACCCCTGAGCCCCAGCTCTTCTGTGACATTAGTGAGACAAGTGGCAAGGGACTAAGGCACCTGCCTCATTTCTTAAGACAGTTGTCACTTTTTTCCCAGCTGTGTGTCTGGATCCAGGCTTGTCGAACTGTACCACACATGTTGTCACAGTAACCATCAATGGAGATGATGCGGAAAATGTAAGGCCGAAGCCCAAACCAGGTGAGGGTGTGTTGGATACATTCAAGCTGGTTTAGCTGCATTGAGGATCTTGCTAAAATAAGCATAGCTTTCATTGAAAGAATCAGTCTGCCACAGGTTCTTTGTGGGTACTTAATTGTCTGCTTCCCAGTGTTGGATAGGTGTTTTGGCATATTCTCTTTAGTATGGCATTGATCTTGTATGTGTTTTGTTTTGTTTTTATAAAATGTTAAACTACAAAAGTTATAAAATATATGTTAAATTTTATAAAATGTTCAATGTCTTTTTTTTTTGGTTGTGTGGAAAATTGATTCCCATTTAATGAGCTACAGACCCAACTAGAAAGTGAGAAACTTCAAAATCACCTTGGTTTTTGTCTTCATGTGTAAGAACAGCATATGTTAAAGGCTGTAGTCTTTCAAATTTATAGAGTTTGTAAGGTTATTCTTTGCACTAAAATATCCCCTAGCAAGTTGGGGTCCAAAAGCATTAATATGCTATTGATTCCCTGTCCTTTCTCCTAACCTTTTGAAGGTGGGTTGATGGATGGATAGATGGATGGATGGATGGATGATCAATACACATGGTTATCAGTACACACACACACACACACTATAGTAAATCATGTTTGAGTGGTAATTTCTTATCCTTGTAAATTATTCCTGCATGTTTCATTAGTCTCTTGTAGCCAGTTTTAAATGCTTAACTGTTTAAACTACAAATATTCATAAGACATGGAAGACATTTAGGAGCCCCTCAAAGTTAAATATAGAACTATCTAAATTCTGTTACATGTGGTAGCACATGCCTTTAATCCCAGCACTCTGGAGGCAGGGGTGGGCAGATCTCGGAGTTCAAGGTCGGCATGGTCTACAAAGTGAATTTCAAGACAGTTTGGGCCATTACACAGAGAAACCCTGTCTCCAAAAACAAACAAAAATTATCTAGAATCCAGTATTTCCAAAGAAATAAACTAAACTAAAAACTGAAAGCAAGAGACTCAGATTCTAATATATTTGATAGTATCATCACTCAAAGCAGCCAGAAGTAGAGACTAGTCAGGATTCTACCAGCACTTGAATGGATAATGAAATGTAGAATTTTGATAAATGCTATACTATGAATGAACCTTGATAGTATTGTGCTAAGTGAAAGAAGCTAAGTGAAAGGGCAAACATGTGATTCTATTGACATTAAATACCTAGAATAGACATTCATGGAGACAAGAAAGTGGAAATTGCCAGAGATGGAGAGTTACTGTTTAGTGAATTCCAACTTTCAATTTGGGGTGACAAAATTGTGAGCTTAAGAGTAGTGATGTTTGTACAACTCTTAATCTTGCTGAATTTTAATGTAAAAATGGTTAAAATGATAAACTTTGTATTGTGATTTATCCACAAGTATAAATGTAGCAAACATGCAGTACAGGATATACTTTAGATTTTGCTGTGAAATGTTTGATCTGGAGAATAACAATGTTATACCATTGATACCGACTTTACTATGATATAGTTAATAGTCCTAGGTTTCTGTTAGATTCTTCTCCAGTCTTTATATTTGCACTACAGTCTTCCAAAGGCTTGCCGCAGCAAGCTGTACTAAAACATATATGTTCTTCCCTCTTCTTATTTTCAGGGGATGGAGGTATGCTATTCAACTCCCAGTGGCTGGCCCTGTGATGGCTTAGTGTAGTGGTAACGATGGCTGCGGACATTTGGGGCTGTTGGGGTTCACTCCTGATCTTCAGCTTTGTTTTACTGTATTCTGTTTGTTTAGAATTTGTGGAAGTGATTTGTTTACCAAAGAATGACCTGTTGACTAGACTTGACGGTAAGCACCCTGAGCTTATTACCCAGCCCTCTCTTGGTTCCCTGCCCCCATCTCTGTCCACTATGGCATTAGTGTAATTCCTTCATCTTCATCTCTTAATGTCAGACACCTAGAAACTGTTGACCAATGCTAGTTTTCCTTTTCAAGTGATGTACAGTTTAAAATTTAAGAAAAACATTCTGTGTCCAGGGAAAGCTTTAATAGGGGCCTTTTAAAATTTTTTCCCTACATAATAGTGATTTTCTTGCTATCTAACCAAAACTATTGACTGCTTAAGATCTTTGATCCATACCAGTGCCAAGGTGTAAATATGTAGCTAAGCTATGCTGGTATGTTAGGTAGTCTTTGTAGACAGTCAAGTTAAAGACTCTTACAGCAGTTCTCCAACACATACTTGACTGAGAAGCTGATGTAATGAACCCTAGTAAATGTAAATCAGTGGTCAGTTGGTTAGATCAACCCATCCCACAAAGACAGTGCAAAAGTCCTGTTAGATTCCGTAAGAGATAATGTTAATGAAGAGGTGACAGAGATCCTCCGAGGTGCCCCAGCTTTGTGGATCCCCATTCACCCATTTGTGAAGATCATTTCATGATCCCAACTTCTTATGTGTTCTCTGCCAGGAAACTAATAACATTTCTTCTACTGTTTTTAAGTAGCTCCTTTGAAGATTAGCACAAAATGACAAGTATTCATTGACCTGAGACTCTAAGAGCAGTCTTTGATTCCTCCCATGCCAGTGGCTTATGGCTTCACTTGAGAAGCCGAGAGCTCTATTTTGAAATGTCTGTTACTTGTTTGAAAAGTTAAGTGACTATCTTTCAAAAAAACTATAATTTTATATTCTCAGACAGCTTCAATTTCTTTACCTTTTCAAAAGTAGAGCTGAGATAAAAATCATCACAATACCTCAAAGCCAAATTAAATGTCATCATTTCTTCAGATGGCAGCCAATATTAGGGAGGACAGCTAAAGATGGGACAGGCCTGATGGGTTTGTGGTCTGCCACCGTTGCATTATCAGTACTAGCCTCTCGTTTTCCCAAATCAAGTGAGCCCTTCCGTTGAGGATGCGTGAGAAAAAGGAAACAGATAATGAATGTAAGTGAAGCACTTGGCCCCCAGGTGCTTAAATAGTGTGTGATGGATGTTTTCTGTACTTACAGAATATCCCTTTTAGAATTCCTTCTCTCATCACCTGACTCCCCTTCTGGTCTTAGAAGGGGATAATTCAGCAAGAAAGAGGAGAGGGAAACAACCAATTTACCTAACCAGTATAACCAAACTATAGGATCCAACTTTCATCTTCTGCCATACACAGGTGAACAGGACATGAACCCTGACTCAAGGGTCAGTTGTCTTTGAGCTTATCCCCAAACTCGTGGCTCGGAGACACTGAGCCACTGAGATGGCTGAGTGCTGAGCCTGATGAGGCATCTGTGGCGCTACTTTTAATCCTTTACTCTAATTTTAGTGTCCCCAGCATCTAATATAGGAACTGGTGGAGTGTGAACAGTGATTGACTAGGCTCTCCTGTCATTGTCTCTAAACTGTCACCTTTGCTTCCTTAGCTTTGGTAGCAGAAGACCATCTTACAGTGGATGCCAGGCTCTACGCCTATGCTCTGGCACTGAAACACGCCAACTCGAAGCCATTCGAAGTACCCTTCCTCAAATTTTAAGGCCAAGGAGGACACTGGCCATGTTTTGTAAATGAGACCATAAGGCCTTCACTATTCAATGTATTCAATTAAGTTTAATGTAGATCAGAAATCAGCTTTTTCATAAAATAAAAGCAGCACAGACTGCATGTGGTATGGAATTATAATTACAGAGAGGATGTAACCTTCATTTAAACTTGTTAAATGCTCATGAAAAAAGAACATAAATGTAGGTAGGTATGTTAAAATTTCTTACCTTCACCTAGTCTAGAAGGTGAGGGTATTTCTCAGGAATAGACTTGAGCTCCAAATTAGGTCAGCTATTTCCACCCTCAACTCCTAAAATAAAAATGATGTACTTAGGTCTGCAAATATTTTGAAACATGAACCTAATAACTAAGAAGATTGGGATTTTGTTGAGACAGGGTCGCTGGCCTGGCACTTGCTTTGTAGACCAGGCTGCCTTTGAACTCCCAGAGATCGGCCTGCCTCTGCCTCTCCAAGTGCTGGGATTAAAGGTGTGCACTACCACACCAGGCCAAAATAAGTTTTAAAAGAGACTCTGATAGGGACTTAATTGGCTTCTCCCAATTCTAATTGACTTGCCACATGGAATTTTATTTGGGTAGTAGATTTAAGATCAACAGAGAATAACATTTGTGGGAAATATGTAGATACTTGTCATACATGGCTTGTAATCCACCTCCTTGGGAAGCTGAGGCAGGAGATCATAAATGTGGCCGGCCTGGGCTGCATAATGAAACTATCTCAAATAATTTTTAAAATGTATTTAATATCCTTATAAGGCCATTTACTTCCTAAAAACATACCAAGACTAATGCTTCAGTAGTGAAGATTGTTAATTCTTAATATATTAAGGCTAAGCTAAGGCTGAAAACTCAGGGCCCTTCCCTCAAGTGTACACATACTTTAATTTCCTATCCTCAGAAAATTGTTTTCTAAAGCTACATCCATAGTCAAAAGATTGGCATGGACTCTACTTGTGTATGAATGTTAACAGTCATAGGTATAGGCAGATATATTAGCCAACTATCTGAAACATAAAACAAACGACACTGGAAATGCAGCAGTGGTTTCGAGTGCATGCCATACCTAAAACTTATCACCCGAGAGTTCTGGGACCATATCCTTTTTCTGAGGAGCTCCGCTAGTATCTGATTACTGTAGCTTCCAACAGCTCAAGGATTGTCGTCTTGCAGTTCAGCCACTAGCAGCACTCAGCATGATGATGTTGGCCAGCTCAGTATGTCTGCAGCTGGATCCAGGGTCAAGGCGGAGTCAGAACCTTCTAAGAGCAGTTTTCCCATGTACAGTCCAATGCTAAGTGTTATCACCAACAGGTATTTATGAACAAAAATGTAAGGTCTTTATACAAATCTTTATATTGGACTTCTTAAATAAGGATGGAAATAATTCTGGAACTTTATAGACCAAGTCTGCTTTCCTAATGAATGTGAAAAATAAGACCCACCCCTTTACATCACAGCCTTCCCTGTGATTCTAACCCTCTTTTAAAAAAAAAATCTTTTTTAATCATGCGCATTGTATTTCTCCAGTGATACTAATTTTTCCCATGAGTTCCTCAGGATCTCTATTTCTTGGTGTTGCTTCCATCCTTTGAAATGAAGACACAGGCTCCACACATTCACCCTTTCCATAGAGCAATTCCAGAGCCAGGTGCAATGGGAATGCCTTTGGTATTAGCCAGGACACAAGATTTGTCCCATTCTCCCTGGCCTTTGGGTCTTTCCTCTAGGAGTGCAACTGAGCAGTGACAGCTACCTCCTAGACTTGTCCTTAGTACCATTTGTATTACGTATGCACCTTGGAAGTCCTGCCTTGGAGGTGAAGTCAACTCAAGCGAGCTGGCCATCTGGGTGTCTGCACTCCTCACACTGTTTATTGCCTACATTTTTAAAAAGCTGTCCTTTTTGCATTCGTTTGTAAAACACACAACGTGGGTTCTAATACCCCAGGGTGTTTCCCAGTGCCTGACCTTCACTCATGTCTTGCCTCCATATGACTTGTGATCCAAGCTAAGGCAGTCCTACCTCCCATTCCTACTAAGGAAATCAATGACTGAAACTGTACTTCTGAAAATAACTTAAAAATTAAATTTGGTAATTTTTTTTGGAAAATAAAGTATGCACTCTAAAAGTACTAGAGTATGTTTTGAGACACTTTGCCTGCCCCTTTCAAATATGCCATGAGTACCCTTCAATTGCTACTGTCTTTCAGTAATTTAGATTTGAAGGATGGTTACATTTAACTACTTTAAGCCTATGTGGATGGGTTCCATATAAAATACTCTGAGCCTACAGAAATAATCTTAGAGAACACTTAATACCACATCTCTTTATTTTTCCAACACAACTGCAACAGTTTATTAAATAAACATTTATTGTCTACTGTTTACTTTTGGGTCCTGCTATGCATGTAACAGACAGTCCTAGTATGAATTATTCATTGTTCACTTCCACTCAACTACAGACACTGCTTGAGAACTGGATCTTGCTTTAGGGACCTGGGGAAGGGGGAAAAAGTACTCGTGGGGCATCATACTGAGTGACTGTTGGAAGTAGAAGGCATAGCCAATACAGCTGGACAGCGCTCAGCTGTCACTGGGAGGACAAATGAAAAGCAGAAGAGGAATTAGAAGCAATTGTTTCCAGTGACAGAAATAACTTCAATGCTTGATTTTTGCCCATCCAGGCTGAGTGGCAGTTTGAGGATAGGACAAATAAAGAGGGGCTGGGGAGGGAGGGTAGAGAACATGGATACGATGAGTTAAAAAAGTATAAAAATTATCTAAAATATACATTAGATATAAATGCTCCATAACTCATTAGGGAAGCTCAAAAATACTGGAAAGTGGCAATTTGCACTACATTTATTTTTAAACAAGGGAATATTCCGTGTTCTGAATGTTGTGTGCAAAGCTAATCCACGTCACTGTCTTGCTAAGCAGATACACTGCTTCCCAGCATCATGGGCAACACTAGATGGACAGTGTCAACAAATAATGTAAACTTCAGTTTTAAGGCAGCTGGTACTAATGCTGCACACAGGCTTAGCTCAGTGCCCATTTCAGAATGGGACAATTAGCACTGAAAACAAACTGAGGGAAGAAAGGGGAACCAGCGTTGTTTGACAGAAACAGGATGTCAAAGTATTTTCCCTTTCACACACGCAAAGAACTATATGAACATTTAGAAAAACAAAGCACCCATCCCTCCAACTTCAGCCTGTTCCTTAACAAATATTTCAAAATACTGATAAATAATAGTGACTGCAAGCAGAATCCCAGTGCCAGAGCCAATAGCCCCCAGGAAGTCTGCTAACACTGACAGGGCACCAATGCACAAACCCCCAAAGGCAGCTGCTGTGGGGATGTACCTGAAAGACAAAAGAACTTTCATCAGGCAGTGGGGGGGGAAAGGGGAAGAACACAATAGCTAGAAGCAATGCAATGTCCAGTTATACCCGAAATGGTTCCCTCTAAAGAGAGAAACTGGTCAGAATAGGTCCTCACTACTGAGACACTGTACCCAGCAGATGGGAGATTAAGGCAATGATTTCAAAACGTTAATACCTGCAAGGCAATGCAATTTTTAGGACAGATCATTAGATTTTAGACTGAAATTTATTATTTGTTATCATACAAATGTATACATTGTATATATTCATACATATGGAATATATTTTTGTGTATATATACAAAAATATACTCTATATATGTACATATATGTTAGTGTATATAAAGTATATATATTTTTTCAGACGTGTCTATAGCCTCAAATTGGCCTAGAAATAGCAATCCACCTGCTTCAGCTTCCAAGTGCTGAGATAAACTACCACATCTGACTAAAATATGAGGTTTTTTCGTTTGTTTAGACTGGATCTCATGTAATGAGGGCTGGCTCTGAACTCATCCAACCTCCACTTCCAGAGTTTCAAGATCAGAGACCTGTGCCATCACATCTGACTAAATTATGTAATATTCTTAAGCAGGTATCCTTTAAGTTCCCTCTTGTAGGATAAAAATAAATTTCAAACCAGGCACGTATATAAACACAGAGGCAAAACACTCATCCACATCAGATAATTGAAGATAGGCACACTAGTGCCAGTTCAAGAAACTGCTGAGCAAATGAGCCATGGACAAACAACTGAGTTACACTGTACTAGCTTGGTACTCATTAGGTAGCCCAGGCTGGCCTTGAACTTGTGGCAATCCTGAGCCTCCCAAGTGCTCAGGTTAAAGATGTGGACTATATATTTCAACTGGATATATTAAGTGGTATATGAATTTTTTTTTTTTTCCCCAAGACAGGATTTCTCCGTGTAACAGCCCTGGCTGTCCTGGAACTCACAGAGATCTACCTGCCTCTGCCTCTCAAGTGTGCCACCCATGCCCGGCTGTGGTACATGAATTATCTCAATAAAGCTGTCAAAGACCAAATACCTAATGCCTGGTAACAAATCTTATTTCCTGGATGTGAGGGTACCAGTGTTTTAGAATGTCCCTGGTGGCTCATGTGCAGCCAGCCAACACTGAGAACTGCTACTATGCATTATTTTAACACTGAGGTGTGAGCTATGAAAGCACAGTTTCAATTTAAAATTATATAGGCTGCCTAAACAAAACCTGTACAAGGACACCACCAGTAGACATGCTAACACAGAAGGGGCCCCAACCGTAGACAAACAACTGTAGGCAACTAAGGCATACAGAGAGCAGAGAAAATAGCCCTCCCCAGGGAAGAGCCCAATTGGTTACCCAGTACCAAATGGTCAGCTCTAAATCATGTATATACGAATAACATAAAGACTGAGAAGACTGCTTATATATTTAGGAATGAATATATATACTTATTTAGGAGTGTGTGTGTGTGACAAAATGAGGCAAGATGCTGTGAACCCAAGAGACAGCAGGTGGGGGGAGTACTCTGGAGGGGAGAAAGGGAAAATATTTTCAAATAATTTTTTTGAAGATTATAAAAGGGCCAATTTTTATGTGGAGAACAATTCAGATTTAGTTAAATTTTAGTTGTCTTGTGAAGAGTAGAAGACTATGACTTTGAATAAAGCAAAGAGCCTTAGAGATTTAAGAAATGACCTTGTGAGCTTACCTGTTCAGCTCGTGGACCATGGAGGTATCTCTGTGGCCTCTCATCACCATCTGCTGCTCTTTAAGCTGCTTAGCCACCTGGCCAAGAAGAAAGAAAAACTTGAAATTAAACTCCTCACATTTTGTTGCTTCCTACATTGAAAATATGAGAGCCTATACACTGGCATTGTATCGCTCATATTAAACATAGGGAAACTGAGGTCTCAGTTCTGCCAAGCATATACTAGCCATGCCTTACATCTTTACTCTCAGCATTTTTGTTTTTTTTTTGAGACAGGGTTTCTCTGTGTAACAGCCCTAGGTGTCCTGGAATTCACAGAGCTCCACCTGCCTCTGCCTCCTGAGTGCTGGGATTAAAAGCAACTTACTTTGGCACCCAAATACTATGATTTTTACAAAAGTTTTTTTTTTCTTTTAATTTTTATTTTATGTTCATTAGTGCTTTGCCTGCACGTATGTCTGTGTGAGGCTGTCAGAAGCCCTGGAACTGGAGTTACAGACAAGTATGAATTGTGCTGAGAATTGAACCCAGGTCCCCTGGAAGAGCAGCCAGTGCTCTTAACAGCTGAACCATCTCTCCAGCCCCACATACGTATTTTTAACTAGTCACATACTTACATCTTTGGCTGAGGAACCAGACACTTCTATCCATGTCTTAGAAAAGAATGCACATGATCCCAGCATGAAGATGATGTACACAACCACATGGACAGGATCCTCAAATATGGCACCCATGGACTCAGGAGGAGATAGGTAGTAACAAAGGCCTCCAACAGGGTAAGAACGAGCAGGTCCTCCCCCACTGACATCCTATCAAACAAGAATAAAAAAGAAAAAATGGTCAACCAGACTAGTTGAGAATACTAGGGTTTTTGTTTGTTGTTGAGGATTAAACCCAGGGCCTTGAATGTTAAGCATGTACCATACAATGAATTGCACCATAAACCTTAAGATTTGTCTCCATTTTGAGATGAGGTTTCACTATTTTGCCCAAGATGACCCCAAACTCTTGAAGTGATCTCCTTCCTGCTTTAGCTTCCTGAGTATTTGAGATTATAGCTGTCATGACCATATATATGTTTGAATTTTTCAAAATTGATGACGGTTTAACTTTTTAAAACAGAAGCTTTATTATTATTATGTGAGTATATATGATGCCTATGGGTTGGTCTGTGCATGGCACAGTGCATACATGGAGGTCAAGGGACAACTTTGTGGAACTGGTTCTCTCCTGACATCCTTTCATGGAATCTGGGGATCAAACTAGTGTTAGACTTACACAGCAAACACCTTTACCTGCTGAGCCACTTCACCAGCCCATGATGTTTTGAAACACCTACAGCCAACAAGCCCATATAATTTAGGGAGTTAACTTTGCATCCTTCATTCCTTCAAAACTATGTACTTTATTTTGTGCAAGACACTGTGCACAGATCATTAACAGAAGAGTGAGTTTTAAAAAATATAGATCTACGAAATCCAGAGGATAGAAATACAATTTATAATTAATTTGATTATATTTAGAATCTGAATGTTTCAACTCTAGAGATGACCATTGCATTTTGCAGTATTAAGAAAACAATCATGCGGGGCTATAGAGATGTCTCAATGGTTAAGAACATTGGCTGCTCTTTCAGAGGACTAGGGTTCAATTCCCAGCACCTACATGGCAGTTTACAACTGTAACTCCAATTCCAAAGGATCTGACACCTTCATATAGACATACATGCACGCAAAACACTGATCAATGTTCATAAGAAATAAAAGTAAATAAAAAAAATTTTTTTAAATAAAAGAATACAATCATGCAAGCCAGGCTTTAATCCCAGCACTCAGGAGGCAGAGGCGGCAGATCTCTGAGAGTCTGAGGCCAGCCTGGTCCACAGTGAGTTCCAGGACAGCCAGGGCTACACACAGAAACTTCACTGAGGCAGGCAGCCTGCCTAGTCAGCCTGGGCTATAGCGTGAGACCATGTCTCTAAACAAGGACTACAGAACAAAAATCACTTTTGTGAAAGCAACGATTTTTAGCCTAAAAAACTATTCAAATGATATATGAAAATGCTTTCCATATAGTAAAATATTAAAAACTACCTGGCCAGCTGGGTGGTGATGGCTCACACCTTTAATCCCAGCAGTGGGGAGGATCTCTGTGAGTTCAAGGCCAGCCTGGTCTACAAAGTGAGTTCCAGGACAGGCTCCAAAGTTACAGAGAAACCCTGTCTCAGGAAAAGAAAAAGAAAAAAAACTACCTGGCCAATCTTACTCTTAGAACATTTATCAA